GTGGATGAAGGCCATCCATAGTTTCTAATGAGATAGATGGATGCAGGGGCCCTGGCTAAGGGGAAGGGCTTTACTTGTCTTTGATCCTTTTCCCTGGCTTTGATCTCTCTCTGGGTTTCCTTATCATCACCACCCCCAGCCTGACCTCAAACTGTCATCCTGTCCATCTCTGTCTCCTAAGTAGCTGGGCATGAGGCACAAAAACTGGGAATTTTGTTTGATGATTTTCCTTTTTTCAGCTAGTATGGTTTTCTTCTTTTTTTTATTGTTGTTCTGGGTGGGGTACGTTGTGCCATTTACAGAAGTTCTTACAATATATCAAATATATCATACTTGACTTCACCAGCCTCCACCATTCTTTAACCTCTCTTCCCCCATTCCCAGAACAGTTTCAACAGGTCTCATTTTTCCATTTACATACAGATGTACTTAGAATTTGCACTATATTCACCCTCCCACGTCCTTTCCACATCTCCTCCCCCTCCCACTTGTACAAACACCCCCAGGCAGGACCTGTTCTCCCCTCCAGCTCTCTGATTTTGTAAATGAAAAAAAAGTCATTTTTGTTTTAGATACATACACAGGGAGTGTCCTTGTGACATTTCCATGTATGTATTTATTATAACCCAAATTGTTTCTCTCTCCTTCCTTCCTTCCTTCCTTCCTTCCTTCCTTCCTTCCTTCCTTCCTTCCTTCCTTCCTTCCCTCCCCTCCCTCCCTCTTTCTTTTGCAGTACTGGGACTTGAACTCAGAGCCTTCACCTTGAGCCACTCCAGGAGCCCTATTTTTGTATAGGGTTTTTCGAGATAGGGTCTCAGGAACTATTTGCCTGGGCTGACTTTGAACCGCAGTCCTCCTGTTCTCTGCTTCCTGAGTAGCTAGGATTACAGGAGTGAGACACCAATGCCTAAGCCTTTATTTTTTTGTATTGATGTTTCTATGGAGCCCTTGTTTTCCATTGCTGATTTTCTTTGTCAAGTTTCTGTCTCAGTTTCACTGATTCCACTTGTAATTCTTCTTATTGTTTTTCTCGTTTTGCTGGTTTTAATTTTTACTTTCTCTGCATAGTTCCCTAAGGTAGGAACTTGGATTATTGATTCTAAATCCTTGTTTTGTCTGTTGTACACATTGCTGCCATCAATTGTCCTCTAAGCACTGTTTTTGCTGCTTCCTCAGATTTTCATAAAATGTGCTTTCATTTTCATTTAGTTCAAAATTAAGAATTTCTCTTGGGAGTTCTGTTTTTACTATCTGTAAGTATGTTGTTTAATCTCCATATATTTGGAGTTTTTCAGTTTTCTTTTTGTTATTTGTACCACTCTGGTCTGAAAGCAGACACTGTGTGCTTTCTAGTCATTCAAATCTGTACAGGTGTTTTCAGGCTGAGAAGGTGGCTTGTGTTGGTGGTGGTCCACACGCACTTGGGAAGAATGTGTAGTCTGTTGCTGGAAGCAGTGATCTATTGGTGGCCAGTTACATGCACTTGAACTCAACTGTTGAGTTGCGCTGTGTGGGTCTGCCTTTTTTAGAGTGGATTGTTGAAGTCTCCAGTTGTGCTTGCGGGTTCATCTTTCTCTTGCACTTCTGATAATGTTCCTCTCCCATAGGATCAGAGTCTGTTGTTAGTTGCATGCCTGTTAAGAATTGTTACATGTTGCAGAACTGATCACTGTGTTATTACCTAATGCCCCCTTTCTTGGTAACTTTCCAGGCTCCTGCTCTACAACTCAGCTACATTGCTAGCCCCTATTTTCCTTTGATTAGTGTAAGCATGATATATTTTCTGCATTTGTTTTTTTTTTTTTAATTAACACTTGTTTAGTGTGGATTAATTTCCCAAAGGTGTTTCATTGTGACATTTCCATATACATAGGTGCATGTAATGTACTGTGTTCACATTCACCCTGTCTCCACCCATTTCCTTTTAATTCATATGTGTTTATATATACTTACTTATGTTTTGGTGGTACTGTGGTTTGAACTCAGGGCCTCATGCTTCTTACTTAGGTGCTTTACCACTTCAGTTACTCTTTCAGCTCTGTTTTGTGTTGAGTATTTTCAAGATAGGGTCTCCAGAGCTATTTGCCTAGGCTGACCTTGAACCTTGATCCTCCTGACCTCTGCCTCCTCAGATGCTAGGATTACAGGTGTGAGCCAGGCATATGTGTTTGTGTTTAAATGAACTTCCTTTGGCCAATACACAGTTGGAGTTTGTTTTGCCCACCTGGCCTTGCACGCTGTCTGTAGTTTATCCATTAGCTTCCTTAGTGCCTTGATCAGAGTTTTAAAAAAATGTTTGCTTTGTGATAATGCCATGTCTGGTTCCGATGCATCCTCTACCACTTCAAGTAGTGGGTTTTTTTTTTTCCTTGTAATATACGTAGAAATACTTTTTTCATAGCCTGACACATCATGGCAAATGCAAGGAATGCTTGGAAATAATACATTTAGTAATATGGTAGGGTATCAGGGAGGGCAAGCTGTGTTATTCTATTCAGGCTACTATAATAGGATGACACAGACTGGTGCTGTGTGCTCTGTCTCCTCGACTCTCTTTTGGATTCAGGAAGAGTTGTTGTATTTTCAGTTCCTTCAGCTCTGTATTTGATTTTTTGGATGGAGTGACAGTTTCCTGTGTTTGTCAGCTTTTATCATTATTACAAAATACCTCAGATAATCAGCTTAAAATGAGGAAAGATTTATATTGTCTGTTGGCTTTGGAGTTTTCAGTGCATTATCACTTGGCTCCATTACCTTTGGTCCTGTGCAAGGCCCCAAAATACATCATGGCAAGAGCTCATGGCAGAGGATGCTGCTTACCCCATAGCCAGGAAAGGAAAAGCAGACAAGAATTGGCTAGGTCACAATACGCGCTCCAGGACACAGTTCCAAAACTTGTTTTAAAGATTCCAACGCCTGTCTGTCCCACCATGGACTGGGTCCTAGCCTTTCACACATGGTCCTGTATGGCATTTCATATCCTATCTAAAGCTGAACAGATACCATGTTGGTGTTTGTATGTTGATTTATTTATTTGTTTTTGAGGCAAGATCCCTCTTTACCTCATAGTGGCCTTATGTGCTCTGTGTAGCTCAGACTCTAGCCTTCACCTCCTCAGTGCTTGGATTACAGGTGTATACCACCGTGCATTGTCCAGGGTCAAAGTTTAAAAGGAACCTTCTCAATGTCTATGTGAACCATGGAAGAATTTGTCTTCATAGAATATGAATATACTTAATTATGTTAGTGGAGCTTCTTTTTCCCTTTTTCTTTCTGAGACAGGGTGTCACTGTGTAGCCCAGGCTGGCGTGGAAGTCATGATCCTCTGAGTCTTGGGATTACAAACATGCACCACCATGAAAGCCTCAGAGTTCTTGTCATTGAGATTTTCTTTATTTTAGGACAAACTCAGAAAATTCTTTCATGGTCTTTGTAGTCTATTTCTTGTCCCTTATCAGGAAATACTAGTTTCTTGTTCTAGTTTTTCTTGTTACTTTCCTTCTCTGAAGACCGTCCATTTCATTCTCTGTGATAAGTTTAGGCAGCACGAAACTTTTGTAACTTAGCAAGTTATTTTCTTCAGCTTATATCTCTCTCCTGAACTCTGGAATCATGTATGAAATTGGTAGTTGGCCATCCCATAGATGGCCAAATGTAATATGTTCAAGTCTGTGCCACTTTGTTGGATTTGTTTTTGTTTTGTTTTGGCAGTGCTGGGGTTTGAACTCAGGGCCTTGTGCTTGCTAGGCGGGTGCTCTTAACATTTTGGTACTCAGCTAGCCCTTTTTTTTACATTGAGTATTTTCTTTCTTTTTTTTTTTTTGGTTTTGGTGTTGTTCTCCTTTTCTTCTGCGTGTGTCTGTTGGGTATTTTTGAGATAGTGTATTTGCCTGGGGTACCTTCAAACCTGGATCCTGCTGGTCTCTGCCTGCAGAGTAACTAAGGTTACAGATGTGAGCCAGCAGCACCAGGCCTGCTGTAGTATTCTTCTTCCATTTTCCAAATTACATGTTGCGGCGCCAGTATTTAAGTTATGTCAGTCATGCAGATCATCTGGAAGTAGAGTATCTTTTTCCCTTCATTCAACAAGTCCTTACCAAATTCTGCTCCTGCCCTTCTTTTCTTTTGGCTCCTTGAAGGTTATCTCTATGTTCTGCAGTGTTACTTCTTCTCTGTGATCTGACGTCTCACTCTGGTTTCTTACTCTTTAACTCTCCCTTAAGCCTTTCCAATTCTCCTCCCAGGGATGAGTGTATTGGAATGTAGATCTGCTCAGTTTGCTCAGCTGTTCTCACCTGACCTCTCATTTTACACCAGTAGATTGGGAAATGGCAGAGATGCCTGAACTGAACACCAGCAATCTTTTTGGAGGCAGGGAGAAAATGTTGTGATGCCTGCATGCATATTTTTAGTTTATTAGTCATTTGCAAAGAATCCTAGGCTTCTCAGTGAAGTGCAGACTCATCATGCAAAATAGAAGTGTGTGTCCTCCTTCCCTGCTTCATTTACACTGAAGCTGTAACGCACTTCCCCTAACAGATTATGGGTTTTGATGCATATTTAATGGCTTTTTCGTGCCAGATCATAAGCTCCTTGAAGAAGCAAATTTTTATTTTATTTATTTTATTTTGTACTTAGAGTGGAACTTGCTATGTAGCCCAGGTTGGCCTTGAACTCGCAATACTACTATATCATCCTGTTCAGTGCTGGAATTACAGCCATGTACCACCAGGCCTGTTTTTACTCATACTTTATTCCCTTGGTATAAGTATGTTTTTAGGCTTGTGAGGTAAACTTCCTTACGATATTTTTAATACTGTTTAGTACTTAATAAATTATTACAATGGCGGTACATTCCTGTGACTTTCCTTTACCATACAGAGTGCAAAACAAGTGGCATTTTTTGCAAAATACATATAAGAATACCCCACTCCCACATACAGAAGTAGAACTTTCATATTCCAACGGCTGGTGAGTTGAGAAGAAATATGGCATTCCAGGAGTCAGTGTTGTTTGAAGACGTGGCTGTGGACTTTACCTGGGAGGAGTGGCAGGACCTGGACCATGCTCAGAGGACCCTGTACAGGGAGGTGATGCTGGAGACCTACAGCAGCCTGGTGTCCTTGGGTGAGTGAAACGCCCTGTAGCCCTCAGGAGCAAGCGCTGTCTTCTTAGTAAATATATGAAAACTATTTGGGTGCAAACTTCTAGCCCATGAAGAACTCAGTTGTTCACCCTCTCTCATGAAAAGCTCACGTGTCCCCCTATATTGCGTAGTTCCAAAGCTAGGGTTTTTCTTGCTTCAAAGAACCTGATTTAAAATGGAGACGATGAAACAATTCAGGGTATGAGACATATATGTAATAAGGAAGTGTCACAGTGAAACTCCCTGTATAACCATCATAAACAAACAAAATTTGTTTTTCAAGAAAGAAGGAAAGAAAGGTAAAAGAAGGCCAGTGTGTGGTATGGCATAAGGAAAGGGAGTGTGGGGGGGTGAATATTGTGGAAGTATTATGCATTCATGTAAGAAAATGAGACAATGAGACCTGTTGAAACTGTTCTAAGAATGGGGGGAGGGAGAGTTTATTATAACTACTTGGTAAATGTCACAGCGTACCCCTGGTACAACTATAATATGCTAGTACATCAATAAAAGAAGAAAGAAAGAAATTAAATCAAAATTTAAATGTAGGTCCTCAGTGAAACTCGTCCTGTTCCAAGTATTTTAAAGTGGTTGCTGTGGCTGGCAGCTCCCTTGCTGGTAAGAAAGGTACAGAACATGTCCGTCATCGCAGAAATGGATAGTGGGGGGCGGGAATACCTGACTTAATTGTTTGACGAAATCCTACCTTGTTTTGCATGAACAGGCAAATGCGTCACCAAACCTGAGCTGATCTTCAAGCTGGAGCAAGGAGCAGAGCCATGGATTGGAGAAGAACCCGCAAGCCAGAGCCCACCAGGTGAGTCAATGCGTCCTGAGTGAGGAGGGCATTAGAGGGGAGCCCAGCAGATGTTGGCCGTATTGCACTGACTTCCCCAGGTTATCTTCCAGATTGCAGACCTAAGGATGGTGTGCTCGCACACATCAAACTTGTGCGTTACATGCCCCAAGGAGGGCTCTCTCACATATATTTTTTACCTTTATCCCAAATCTAAACCCTACTCTTAGACATTTTTCTTTGGTATTTACTTTCTCAGTCTTCTGAGTTGGCTCACCCTCCATGCTCATGGATTTTCTCAAATTTCATTAATAAATTAAAAAGTAATAAGTTAATTTATTACTAAATTAATAGATTTATTAATAAATTAATAATAATTTTTTCATTTTCATTAATTAATTAATTTTTGTGGGACCAGGGTTGAATTCAGGGTTTTGAGCTTCCGAAGCAGGCGGGCCCTTGCAGACCAGGTGCTCTATCACTTGAGCCACAACTCCAGTCCATTTGGCTGTGGTTATTTTTGAGGTGGGGTCCTGTGATCTATTTGCCTGGGGCTGGCCTTTAGCCAGGATTTCTGAACTCCGCCTCCCGAGGATCTAGGATTAGAGATGTGAGCCTCTGGCACCTGGTTTAAAAAATTTTTTGAGACAAACACCTGATATAGACCCTGACTTTCCTTGCAGTCTGGATGTTCCTGCTTCTGCCTCCTAAAGGATTGGATTACAGGTGCCTGTCACCCACCACGCCTGGTGTCTCAGGACTAGTATTGCCTGACAATTATTCGTAAAATATTTATGCTTCATCACATCGTACGGGAGCTGATTTTAAGCACTGGCAATTTTATAGTTGTAATGATGTAAGAAATTATGAAAATAATGTCTTTTTCATTGAATTTGTAGTGTGCTGAGAGAAAAGCAAGAAGTAATGTACTTTAAGTAGTCAAGTAAGAACCATGAGCAATATTTCATCAGCGTGAGAAAAGAAAACTTGATATGTCATCATTTAGAAAGGCTGGTCAGAGAATACAGTCTTAGGTGGAGTTTGTTTGTTTGAATTTGCTGTGCTGGGGATTGCATCCAGGGCCTCAAGGGTGGTGGTCAAGTGTTGTACCACTAGGCTACATTTGTAGTGGGATTATGAAGTGTTCATCTTGACATAGCTTGAGGTTTCAAAATTTTACACATAATAGGTGAATATGAAGATCTACATTTGAGACTCTATATCGCTCTTGGAACCACAAATTTGGAAGTTGGTTAGCTTGAAGCTGTTATTTAAACTTATACAGAGCAGTTCACATGGGGAGTGGATGAGAAAATGAGAAAAGTCCAGACTTACCCTTGTGAACCATGATGTCAGACACCATGGATTTGGGAGGATCCAGCATATGGGTCTGCATCTGTGGAAAAGCCAGGACACTCAAGTGAACCAAGGGCTTCACGTTGAGGAGCTCACATCTCTGCTTGGGAGTGCAATTTGATGTTAGCATTTCCATCTTCTCTCAGTGGGTATCAGTATGAACAAGAAAGAGGAGGAGGAATGTTGAGAAGACTCCATTTTGTATGAAAGTAGGAGAGGGTTGACGGTCCCGTGCACAAGATAACATCATTCAGGAGAAATTGATTATCAAGCCTGGGTGTCTGTACCAGGAATAGAGGGGAGATACTGGGGCTTTTGGTCTTAGAAGGAGCAAGAAAAGCACTGTATAAAGATGATGGGCTTCATAGGTGGGTGTCCAGGGTGGTGGGATGAAGAAAAAATTTATGTTTCTGAGAAACAGAGTTAGTGAGGTTCAATTAGAAGTTTGTAGGAATATAGAATGGGAAAGAAGACATTTTATGTTTGAAAAACTCCCTAGATACATATAGTTATTCCCCATGTAAGAATGAAAGCTGAACAACTGTAGATGCAAATGCTGTACCAACGTCACGTTCCTGCTGTGGTGTCAATCAGTCGGACTTCACTTGTATTATGCAAGTTGCTGGTTCTAAAAATTCTTGTACTCATCAAAGTAGAATAATGAGAAGAACAGCAGCAGGAGACCCCAGCATTGTCAAAACATAGAGGAAAGAAATGGCAGGGTAGAAACATTCCATGGAAAATGATGCCTAGGCTGTAGGTGACTATTTTAACCAATACTACCACATGCAAATAAAATGAAAGAAGCAAGGAAAAACAGTTCAACATTATAAAATCTATTACTGTCATTTATTCCTTGAAGTCAGTGGGAAGACAACTGTACAAGCGAATACCTGTTGTGGTTTTTATGAAAGCTTATGCCAGTAAGAGGGGAAGAACCTCCTTTGTGTACACATGCACATTCCATAGAAATGCTTAGTTGTGTTTCATGTATATGGTTGTTTTCTTTTTTCTCACTTCAGATGTCGAGAAGGTGGCTGTCATAATTGAGACCAGTGAGGAAAGTCAAGACAGACGTTTGTGGCAAGCTGGAATCACTATGAATAACATACCATCTAAGGACCGAGTTATATTAGGACATGCCATTCACTTGAGTTCCAGCCATATTTCAAATCTGATTATAAAGAATGCAGGCTCTTTAGGAGTGAAGCCCAAGGAGATGAGTGAATGTCAGAATAGATATCGCCCTAGTAAGCCTGATGGGATGTATGCTGGTGAGAAACCCTATCAGTGTAATCAGTGTGGAAAATACTTTGTCAAGAAGTCACACCTTACCCAGCATCAGATATTTCACAGTGTGAAGAAGCCCTATCAGTGTAATCAGTGTGGAATAGCCTTTCACAGGAAGTCATATCTCACCAAGCATGAGATACTTCACACTGGGGAGAAGCCCTATAAGTGCACTCAGTGTGGTAAAACCTTTGCCAGACAGTCATACCTCACCATGCATGAGATTATTCACACTGGAGAGAAGCCCTATAAGTGTATTCAGTGTAATAAAACCTTTATCTCAAAGTCAAAACTCACAACGCATGCGATGAGTCACACCGGAGAGAAGCCCTATCGGTGTAGTCAGTGTGGAAAATCCTTTCACTTGAAGTATATCCTCAATATACATGAGATAATTCACACTGGGGTAAGGGCTTATCAATGTAATGAATGTGGAAAAACCTTTGGCCGGAAATCACACCTCACTAGGCATGAGATAATTCACACTGGGGAGAAACCCTATCAGTGTAGTCAGTGTGGAAAAGCCTTTCACCAGACGTCAGACCTCATTGGACATGAGATAATTCACACCGGGGAAAGACCCTACCAATGTAATGAGTGTGGAAAAACCTTTGTCCGAAAATCGCACCTCACGGGGCATGAGAGAATTCACACTGGGGAGAAGCCCTATGAATGTAATCAATGTGGAAAAACTTTTCAACGGAAGTCAATCCTCATTGGACATGAAATGATTCACAGTGGGAAAAGGCCCTATCAATGTAATCAGTGTGGAAAAACCTTTTGCCAGAAATCACACCTCACTGAGCATGAGAAAATTCACGCTGAGGAGAAGCCCTATCAGTGTAGTCAGTGTGGAAAATCCTTTCACCTGAAGTCAGTCCTCATTGGACATGAGAAAATTCACACTGGGGAGAAGCCCTATAAATGTAAGGAGTGTGGGAAAGCATTTTGCTGGAAATCAAGCCTAACGATGCATGAGAGAATTCACAGTGGAAAGAAGCCCTATCAGGGTAATCAGCGTGGAAAAACTTCGGGCTGGAAATCAAGACTCAGCAGTCATGAGATGTGTCACACTTTGGAAAACCCATACAAGTGCAATCAGTGTGGTAAAACCTTTTTGGGTCAGTCACGCCTCACCACACATGAGAGAATTCACACTGGGGAGAAGCCCTTTAAGTGTATTGAGTGCCATAAACCCTTTGTGTCAAAGTTACAACTCACTAGGCATAAGATGATTCACACTGGAGAGAAGCCCTATCAGTGTAGTCAGTGTGGAAAAACGTTTGGCCGGAAGTCAAACCTCATCGGGCATGAGAGAACTCACACTGGAGAGAAGCCCTACCAGTGTAGTCAGTGTGGAAAAACGTTTAGCCGGAAGTCAAACCTCATTGTGCATGAGAGAATTCACACTGGGGAAAAGCCCTATCAGTGTAATCAGTGTGGAAAAACCTTTGGCCAGAAGTCAAACCTCAGCAAGCATGAGAACACTCACAAAAGAGGAGTCTTCTGAAGGTAGAAGAGATTTCTCAGAAATCAAACCTCAGAAAACATCAGCATATTCTCACAGTGGGAAAATCCTGAATGGAAGAGACTAGCTCTGCCTCCTCTTTCTGTGGCCAGCAGTTCACAGCTGTCTGTAGAGACAAAGACACCAGTGATGAACATTCTTTCCAGTCCTAAATTTAACAGTGACCTTGCAGTCTTACAAGACACGGGTGGGAGCGCTATGTGTTTTCAGTCACTGTGATTTTACACAGAAATGAAGAGAACAGAGTACTTTCCACTACTGGCCTAACACCATCCATTTGTTACATGTGAGAAATGAAACCTACTCTGTTCAGCCATTTTATGTGTAGTCTGTGCATTTCAGCAAACACAGCCACTATTGCTTACTCACTTTATGAATTTGGGAGGTGTTCCTTACAGACTCATCCAGTTCATGTTTATCTGAAGATTCAAACAGAAGGAAAACCTGTGTTGTCCTCTTTCAACTCTAAGTCAGGTTTTGGGAGAATGAAAGAAATGTGGGGGCCAGGAAGCAGTGCCTCATAAATATACTCCCAACTATTTGGGAGGTAGAGGGTGGAGGATTGCGGTTCAAGACTATCCTGTGCAGAGAGTTAGCGAGACTCCATCTCAACTAATAAGCCAGGTGTCACCACAGCTGTACCCAGCTGCAACCCTAGTTTTGTGATTGGCATAGGTAGAAGGATTGTAGTCCAAGCCACCCTGGGTAGAAACTGAGGCCCTATATGAAAAAATAACTGTAAAAAAAGGCTTGGGATATCACTCAAGTGGTAAGTATCTACCTGCCAAGCTTGAGGTCCTGGGTTCACACACAATTCTGTCCATAATGCCCCCGATTAGAAATTCCATCTCCATCCTGTTTAGAGGATTATTTGGGGTGGCTGTCACTTTCTTCTACCGAAAATTTCTTCCCCACAGAATCTTAGTAACAGGCCACCAGTATGCCCATAATACATGGTTGCATATGCAGTCTTCATAGGAGGTCCCATTTTCAGGGTGGGGTGTAAATGTCCATTGTCCCTGAAATCTTGGTAATCACTGAATTTGTGAGCCTGGGGCTGCTCACACTGTTAGGATCTGTGTTTATAGGATACAGAGAAGCTGTGAGCAGTGTGTCCTGAAGGCTTAAATCTCCAGGTATTCTGAACATCCCTGAGCCCAGCCCACATGATTGATAGAAGAAGAAAGTATTCTTTTTTCCAGTATGGTGTTTTCTCTGGCTCTGAGTCTGTAGAGGTGGGTCGCTTCTCTTGATAATTGAGTCCTGCCTTCTCAATTTGCCCTGTGTTTGAGTTCTTTTTGAATATCTCAAAATTACAGTGGGTATACCTTTCTATAGTATGCCGCAGAGTGAATGTTTTTTATGACCACTGATATTGACCTATTATTTCACTTATGATCTGTGTTGACTTCCTTAACACATCCACAAGCCTTTTCTGAATTCTGATTGGGTTTGCATTGATCTTAGATCTCAGTTTGTACTGTCTTGGACTGGACCATTTCACCCAGGCAGCATGGTCTCTCCAGGGAGACCAGACTACAAGTTCCATAGTGGTGGTTCTGGCAGCAACTGATCAGGCCCCAATTCCCATCCTAGAACAGATGCCAAAGTCATGCTTTTGCCACCTCCACCACTGCTCACTGGGGACTCCCCAGACTGTGTTTACAGTCCCTGGTATGTCCCAAATGCTGACAGCAAGGTACATACTTTAAATAGCAGTGTGCATACACATACAAGGCAGCGAAATACCTAGGTGTATCTTAGGAAAAGCAAACCAAACATAAGGAGTTAGAGTACCTGTCATTCTTTATACACTTGGCTTTAAATCAAACACAATTCTTAGAGCTTGTCCCAAATCTCTAAGTGAGTGGTAAAAGATTCCACCTGTCAGACTGCTACAACAATTCTAAGTGTGTCTACATCTTACATCAGGTTTAGCATGTATAAAGTGAACCTAAGAGTAGGCAAGTCCATCCAGCAGTAGGAAATCGTTCATGTGTGCTACACTCTGATATACTCCTACATCATATTGTATTTTAACGGAAAAATAAGTCTCGTGATCTCCTCAGAATTAACTGCCTGTAGCATCTACAGATTTTGCTTAGAGGAGCACAAAGGAGATGAAGGAGAATGATCCAGTCTAGACAGATCTGACAGAGTATTTGGCTCTTTACTTTTTGTGATTTTTTTTTTTTTTGAGATAGGGTTTCATGATCTGTTTGCCCAGGCTGACTTTGAACAGTGATCCTCCTGATCTCTGCCTCCTGAGTAGCTAAGATTACAGGCTTGAGTCACTTGTGCCCAGCCTGTGGCGTAGTATTTTGGAAATAAAGGCCTGGGGAATAGATTTGAGGGTTTCAAACATGAGAATTTCCAGAATGTTTGGCAACTAGGGAGCAGTTTTCAGCACCACTGATTCTTTCATCACCCAAATAGAAACCTGTATGCATGAAATGCTAACTTCCCATTTCCCTCTCCATCAGCTCCTAGTAACGGCTACTGCGTATCTATGAATTCTGTCTCTTATAAGTAGAACCATAATCTACAAGGTTTGTTCATGTTCTCACACCTATCTGTCCTCCATTCCTCCTTATGACTGAATAGTACTCAATTGTATGGTATTGACATGCAGTTTTATATAGTACTTGTAACCCTTTTTATTTCTGCAGTATTGACAGTAATGTTCCCACTTCAGTTTCAAATTTTATTACTTGACTCCTCTACTTCTTTGCTAGTCTTGCTAAAAGTTTGTCAAGTTTGTTAGCTTTTCTCAAAAAACCAATATTTTGTGTTACTGCTTTTTCTTTTGCTTTTCTACTTGATTTATTGTTTCTTTCCTCTGCTAGCTTTGGGTTTAGATTTCATTTTTGCTGAATGGAGATCTTTCTGCTTTTCTCACAGAGGTGTGGAGAAAAGCCTCTTGATACTCAAGAGGGCTTTTGATTTCACTGTATGAGTAAATGTTGATTCATTGTGGTTTTGTTTCCATTGTCCTTAGTTATCTTCTTTCCTTTGTGATCTTTTTGACCCTCTGGTTGTTTAAGAGTGTTATTTATTTGCACATGTTATTGTTATATGTAAATTTCCAGTTTTCCTTCTGCTGTTGATTTCTGGTTTTATTCCACGATGGGTGAGAAAATATCCTATATGATTTCAGTCCTTTTACATGTATTAAGAATTGTTGCCTAACACATGATGTGTTCCATGAGCCCTTGAAAAGAACATGTATTCTGTTGGGGTTGGTTGCAGTGTTCTGTATAGCCTGCTAGGCCTGCCTGGTTTATAGTGTTTGTCAAGCTCTCTGTTTTACCATGGATCTCAGATATGATGTGTGAAAGTCTGTATTACATCTAGTTTTGCTTCCTATATATTGGGAGTATTCATGTATTGGGAGATATTATGATAAAATTGTTGTATCTTGGTGAATTATAACTTCTACCAATATATACTGTCCTTTCTTGCTATCTTTTTGATGTAAAGTTTACCTTGCTTGATAATATTCTCGTTATTGAAATATACTGATTTAAAGGAGCCAGTTTTCTCTGTCATTCTGTCTTTGTGTATGTTGGTAGTCAAACTGAATCTCTCTGAATGCAGCTTATATGGCTCATGGTTTTCACATCCATTCTGCCAGTCTCTGTCATTTAACTGGCACAGTTTAACCCATTTGTATTTATACAATGGCTGAGAGGGAATGCCTAACTCCTGCCATTTAGCTATTCACCGTATGACTTTTCTTTTTCCGGAATTGAGCTTTGACCTCAGGGCTCTGTATTTGCAAAGCAGACGACCTACTGCTTGAGCCTCCCGTCCCCTCCATTTGTCTCTGTTTTTTTTTTTTTTTTTTTTTATTGTTTTTTTCTGGGGGAAGTATTTAGAATGTTGGAAGTATTTGCCTTTCTGGCCCTGAACTGGGATCCTCCATATATCTCAGCCTCCCAATTGCTAGGATGACAGATCTGAGCCACCAGCATCTGACTTCTGTATGTCTTATATGCATTTTTTTCCATTCCTGCAGCACCATTTTCAGGCCAGGGAATTTTACGCTAGGACCTCACGAAAGCCAGGAAAAGACTCTACCACTGAGCTATATCATAGCCCTTTCAGTTGAGTTTTTGTACCGTGCCATTTTGATTCCCATTTTCTTTCCTTTCTGTATTCCTTTTAGATTTTTTTTTTCTTATTGGTCATCCTTGCGATTACAATGAATATCTTAAACTCATAGCAACCTCGTTGCAGTAATATCCATTTAGTTTCAGTTGTATGAAAATACTCCCTTTATATTGTCATCATCACAGATTATGAAGGGGGATTGGGCTGGAGCATAGCACTCCTGGCAGCAGCTCGATCTTGGAACGACAAGGGAGGGACAGGTGTTGAGTACCTTAGGACCAAGCTGAGGCCTGACCCAGGAGTTGGAGACCACACTAAAAATTTAAAGTGAGATGCCTTCTCCATAAACTTTAAACCCTCCCCTATCCTTTCCTTTGCTTATAATAATCGCACTGTGGCAGATCATACAAGGTCTCTAACCCCCACTTGGCCTGATCAATTAGAAATGCAATGGGCATTTGTGCGGGGGTTTCTATGCCAGACCCACTTCTTTCTCTCTTTCCCCTCCCCCAACCAGTGGTTTTAGAGAAAAGGTGGGACGCACACCTCACACAGGCTTTTTATTTAAAAAAATAAATGAAAAAACTGCCTCTGGACAGGCTGATGGCTTCTGCCTGCCCTGGGAAAACAGGAGCCTCTTTGTGGGTGCTTGGGAAAGCAGGGAAGGTAGAAGCTTGAACAGGGAGCAAATATACTACTACCTGCAGGTTGGGGGACTTGCTAGCCCTGGCACTTGCCATGTGTGTGTGGGGTGGTGGGGGTGGCGGGACCCAGATCCACCTGAAAATTAACTTTGCCCTGAAATGCATTATGTCCCCTGCCCTACTTCCAAGTAGAGAAAAACTACTGTGGTCTGTTCAGCTTAAGGTGGGCTACTTGGCCTTTTGCCCATTGCAATGTCATCTTGATCTCATTATACTTTGAAATTTTCTCCCCTGTGGGTTTTTCATAGCCATGTATTGAGTGATTTTTGAGACATGTCCTAATTCTTTCTCAACTTTCATATCAGTCATTCCCCAGGGTCTGGTTTCTGCATAAGGACATGATGCCCCAATCTTCTTAAACTTCAATAAATCCTAAACAGGTACCAGGATACAGGCCTGTAGCCTCCAATCCCAGCTTTTGGGAGGCTGAGATTGGATCTCAGTTCTTGGAAGCCCAGGCAAATAGTTGCATGACCCTATCTCCAAAATAGCCAAAGGAAAATAGGAAATAGACTGGGATGTAGCTCTAGTAGTAGAAAGTCTCCTTTGCAAACACAAAGCTCTCAGTTCAAACGTGAATCCCACAAAAAAAAATTAATTAAAAAGGACAGTACACGAAGTTGTGGGGTTTTGCTCAAGCCCCCTCCCACTTAGGCCCAAGGAGCCTCCCAGAATCCCCAAACTGGCCTAGAGCTTTCCAAGCCATCCCTTCTTCCATTTCAGTAGCAACATTCCCATGGCCCTAACACACTTTACCTTCCCTTTGTTTACACCATGCTTTGTTACAAAAAGGGTTTCAGCTGAATACTTGATGGGGAAAAGGGTCAGACTGGGTGCATTTGCATGAGTGCAATCACTCAAAGTGATAGTTTTTATACATTAGTAGAACTGTTACATTGACTTAAGCCACCACTGGTTTGTGCTACTGTGGTTTCAATTCAGGGCATACCCCTTGAGCCACTCCACAAGCCCTTTTCTGTGATGATGGGTTTTTCTGAGATAGGGTCTCACAAACTATTTTCCAAGGCTGGCTTTGAAGTGCAATCCTCCTGATCACTGCCTCCTGAGTACCTAGGATTACAGGTGTGAGCCACAGGTGTCAGGCACCAATGGGAATTTTTAATGTGGGCATTTTTCTTCCTATGCCTTCAGCTTGTTGGTGTTTTGATGCACTCTGCTTCTCCACCCATCCTCTAAGGAGGCTTTATTCCCAGACTTTACAGATAGAAAATGTAGGGCTGCAGACTCTGTGTGGTTATAGAACTAGTGACAGGGAGCAGGCATTCCTGTTGCAGAGCAAGGGCTCTTCCTATATCTGGGATACCAGTGCAACACTTTCTGGGGTGAGAGTTCAGAGCCATGTTAGAGTAGGGGAACAGCCTAGGTCTCTGTGGCTTGGTGCAGGCTACTGACTGGCTCTCAGGAATGCTTGGGTATGGAGCAGCCACACTCAGCAGTGAGTGACCGCACATGAATGGCCCATTGTGCCTCTACCAGGCTCTGTGCAGAGCTGGGCACTGCTGATCCCCATTATCTCCAAGTGAAAACCAGGAGTCAGAAGTTTCTCTGTGCTCTCAGAGCAGGATTCTAGATCTTGTCAGAGCC